TGTGCTCTAGTATTTTTTAAAATACTTTATTGATTTTTTTACAGAGAAAAAGGGAGAGGGATAGAGAAGTTAGAAACATTGATGAGAGAGAAACATCGATCAGCTGCCTCCTGCACACCCCCTACTGGGGATGTGCGCGCAACCAAGGTACATGCCCTTGACCGGAATCGAACCTGGGACCCTTGAGTCCGCAGGCCAACGCTCTATCCACTGAGCCAAACCGGTCAGGGCTCTAGGGATTCTTTATCAAAACCTCCTCCTTGGTCTCTCTGCTGTGGAACTAAATGAGGGGCACAGAGAGTATTTGTTCAAGTGGTCTGAGTTTGGGTCACGTGACACCCTGCAGGGAGGCAGCGTTCCCTGATAGTCCCATCTGCATAGCCACAGTGGATGAGAGATGGCTTTCCCAAGGGAATATGAGACTCCATCACTAGGAGAAAGAAGGATGGATGCTGTAGAGCAAAAATCAGGGAGAATAATAACAAATGAGGATCTGCCCTTGCCTACTTTCTAAGCCTCTTCTCTCACCTGCCCCCCTCCCGCATGCCTTGCAGCCTGTGCCACATAAACTTCTATCAAATATCAAATAATGTCGTTTCCTCCGTAGGGGACTCTGCTGGACATGGACGGGCCCCAGCGAACCCTCAACCAGAACCTGGAGCTCCGGTTCCAGTTCAGCGAGGAGGGCCACTGGCAGTGGTTCGTCCTTTACACCAAACAGGCGAGTTCGCGGGAGGAGCATGAAACCTGTGCTGAGATGCCCTCTTGCTCACGGGGGTGGACACAGCACAACACCCTAACCCTTGCTAATTACCAGAGTATGCTACGCACTCTCTTTTAGGGCTGTGACACTCTTTTTAAAATTTTTTTTTCTTTTGCTAGCCACCACAGCCTTCGTATCTATACTAATAAAAGGATAATATGTTCATTAGACTGGGTCGACCGGACATCTTCCGGACGTCCGACTTCCTTCCAGACAAAGCCACAGTGGCAGGGCCAAGGCAGAAGTGGTTAGGGGCAATCAGGCTGGCAAGGGAGCAAGCAGTTAGGGGGAGATCAGGCTGGCGTGGGGGAGCAAGCAGTTAGGAGGAGATCAGGCTGGCTTGGGGGAGCAAGCAGTTAGGGGGAGATAGCAGGGCCAAGGAGGAAGCAGTCCCAGGCCAGCCAAGGCAGGTGCCAGCAGGCCCCCTCCCCATCACCCCACTGATTGCCCCAGAGATCAGCCCTAATCACCAGCCAGGCCTAGGGCCCCTGCCTGTGCATGAATTTCATGCACCAGGCCTCTAGTCAATTATAAATGAATTTAGTTACCATACAGGGGTGGGGAACCTTTTTTCCTGCCAAAGGCCATTTGGATATTTATAACGTTATTCACGGGCCATACAAAATTATCAACTTAAAAATTATCCTGCTATATTTGGTTAAACATCTAATTAACTCACCTCTAATGCCTTGGCAGGGCCAGACGGCCTGCAGACCAGATCTGCTTGACCCCTGACTAACAGTGGCTTAAAGCAGGGGTCAGTGAGCTTTTCTCAAAGGGCCAGATGGTAAATATTTTAGGTTTTGAGGTTCATTTGGTCTCTGTTGCAACTACTCACTAGTATGAAACATTCTTAGGGAAAAGATAGGATGTTTGCTGAGGCAAGATTTGCAGTCACTTGGAGAGACAGAGAGTGATTTTGGTAGGGAAACCACGCTTCCTCCCCTAGAATGCTAAGTGCAATAGTTAAATATTTTTATGGTCTTTTAATCTAGGCTGTAGCAAATGAGCTTAAACCGCCATAGAGAGGGGTAATAAACATTTAAGGGACTCCTAGCGAGGTCTTATTTCCTTCGGAGTGTGGGTTTATGGATGTGCACTCAGGGACTGCTTTTGCAAAAGGCAGAAATGTGGCTCGTGTGCCTTACCTGTAACTAACTACAAATGAGGGTTTCGGTTCAAATCTCCTTTAAGTCCTTCAACAAAAGCTCAGTCCCTTTATTTGTAATAAACCTTACCTGGTGTACAGCAGAGTCCTAACCTACATATCGATGTACGTTGGATAGTGGTATGGAATCAGTCCAGGCCTGGGGGGCTCCATTAAGCATCCTTCCCGGCTGCATCAGCTCAGGGGGTGTTGCTGAGCCATTCCACACCCTGATTTTGTGTAGGTTACACATGTGCACAGATAAACAGGGTTAGTCCTTATCAAACCCAGGGAAAATGATTAGTAACGAGATCCTGGCCATTTTTTCGTCGGTCTTTTAAAAAATGTACTCTAAATAGATCCACATATTGAGAAACTGTTTTGTTACGGGTTAATGACATCTTATGCAAATTCATGGAAGTTAAGAAAGAAACATAAACTCGCACTATTGAAGGGCAGAGCTCAAAATCGGCCGGGTGGTGTGAGGAGGGAGGAAGAGGAGAAAGATCTCTGTCACTGGGAGACTCCTTTCTTTCTGGGTTTCTTAGGCTTTTTTGCTGAGCAGCTGCCTGAAAAAAATGATCTCAGAAAAGATGGCAAAGCGAGCTGCGGAGAACCCCGAAATGGTAAGTGCTCTTCTCTGTGTGCATTTTCCCCTTGAAGTTCCAACCATCTGCTGACACTGAACAGGGCTGATCCCTGGGCCTGGAGAGAGGACGTGAGCAGTGAGCTCCTCTGCCTTCTGATCGGCACATTCTTTAGAATTCAAGCCGTTTTTTCCAACAAGAATCACCCTTGGGTTACTGAGAGCTCTATAACCCTCTACACCAAGGGTGGGGAACCTTTTTTTTTCAGCCAAGGGCCATTTGGATATTTATAACATCATTCACAGGCCATACAAAATTATCCACTAAAAACATGAGCCTGCTATATTTGGTCAAACATTGAATGAACTCACCCCGAATGCCTTGGCAGGGCCAGACCAAATGATTTGATGGCCCCTTATTATTGCAGGCCGGACATTCCCCATCCCTGTTCTACGCTGAATCCTGTTTTTCTGCCTTCTCCATAAAAGCTTCATGATAAAGTCAGGGTCTTGAGCGGCCGGCCTATAACACAGCAGCAATGACCCTATAGGAGCTCTGCAGTTTTGTCCCTAGAAAGAACCGCAGCCTCCTGACACTTCCCCTGCGCCAAGTTAAAATGCCTGTAGCTGTTGGGAGAAGACATCAAGTACACAAGCTCTCGAGCCTATAATATTTCCCAATGTGAAATTAAATTTTGTTTTGCAAGTTTATTAAAGGCCTCACATCTCCTCGAAAGGGCTGTCTGTAAAAAGGCTTCGTGAGATAGAGTTACTTTTCTACTTGCTTTGTCACAGTATGAGATAAAGATGCCCCTAATAAGACAGGATAGTTTGATTTTTTTTTTAAGTGTTCACAAATACCAGTGCCTGGTTGACATTTATAAACAAAAGGCAATTCTTTTGCAGGATATCACCCTGACCTTTAAAAATACAACAGAGAGCATTTGGAAATGTTTTCTAATGTTTTCATTTCAATGTAGTCTTTCATAAGAGGATGGGTGACACCTTCAGTTTAATCTTGCTCTTTCTTGACGGAAGATTTTTTTCTAAGAAAATAGTTTCATTTTACCTTTATTTCTCTTTCGAAGCTGAAAATGTTTTCCCAGGGAAAATACAATGTACTTGCCTATTGGTGTTTAAACAATTCAAAATGTACTGGAGCAGCGAAGCAAAGCAATAAAAGAATCAAGGATGCTCTTTTGAAAAGAGTAATAAAATCGAACCCTTTAGGCTCCAATTATTATGTATGTAAAACGGAGAAGAAGAAAAAGAAAATTAACTGAAGTAGTCCTATTAAAAGGGACAAGTGCCCTCAAGTGTAGTTGAATAAAATGTAAGCTACTTGATGCCGAGGAAATAGTTGTACAATGACTAGCTAAAGAGTTTGCTCAATAATAGGAGAAGGTAGGCATCTATTTAAAGTTTTCAAAAAAAAAGCAACCACACTAACTACATTCCTTAGAGCTGCACACAAATGGAAATGTACAGTGTATCCCTATCGCTGATCACAAAATCAGCATTTTAGCCAGTATTTATATTGCTTTATCCAAATACTCAAGTTTTATTGCCACAGACTTTTTTTATTTTTTATGTTTGTTTTTAAAAAGACAGGTTAAGACCCTTCCTCTTGAAAATTGGGTTTTCAAGAGGATGTTGTAGGGATAGTCCACATTTCAATCTGGAATGTCAGCTACAAATTCCTGGGAAGAGTGGGACCCTGGTGGGGAAAAATCAGATTAGCTGTTTGAACTTCAGCTGAGTTTGGGCCTCCTCTCAAAGTACCATTGGTAAGAACAAGTCATGTTGTGGCTTAAAGGAGCCATATAAATGTATGACTGCTGGGGTGGCCTGTGGACATGATGGAGGGGGGCAAACTAAGTGCGGGGGGAGTGAGGGACATCTATAATATTGTCAGCAGTAAAAAATAAATAAAAAACGATAAATGTATGACTGTGAAATTCACTGCCACATAAAGTTTAAGCTGATGCATATTGCCTAAAGAAGGTAAAAAAATAAAATAAATAAATAAATAAAAATAAGGTTCATAGAGACCAGGATACAGAGGCATCTATTTTGCAAGGCAGAATAGAGTCCAAGATTTTTAAAAAATCCTCACCCCAGGATATGTTTTTATTGATTGGAGAGAGAGAGAGAGAGGGAGGGGAGGGGAAGAGAGATAGAGAGACATTGATGTGAGAAAGAAACATCGATCGGTTGCCACCCATACATGCCCCAACGGGGGATCAAACCGGAAACCTAAGTATGTGCCCTGCAGGGGAATGGAACCAAAACCTTTTTCGTGGCAAATAAACGAGGCATGCGGCCTGCCAGCGGGCAAGTTTGAGATGCTTAGGACGCTCCAACCAACTGAGCCAACTGGCCAGGGTGATTCCAAGATTTTGATAATCATGAAGAATCTGGGGAGGGAGAGATAAACTGAGGAAACTGTAACCAAATGAGCCCATGAATAAAGCAGATGGTCCCTGGATGCATATTAAACAGCACTGCTGTGTCCCAGTAAGAAGAAAGGAGAAAAGAAAAAATGTAGTGCCGATGTAAAGTTAATTGGCTTAGTTAGCTTTAGGCAGTGCTTTCAAAGGTAGATTTGAAACATTTATGAAGAGACCATTAAAATTTTAAGTCAAACAAATGTGCTAAAGAAAAATGTAAATAGTCAATAATATAAAAGTCATGGTAAGCTCTTAAAGGCAGTGTTAACTGCAAACCAGAAGGAATTAAAAAATGCAATTACACTAATGCCTAAAGAAATTTTGTTAATATTTGCTACTTTTAGCTAGGACAGAATTATAAGGATTATTTTATTTGAAAATAGAGTATATTAGGAATAGGTTTGGCTACATATCACAAAAAAACCCAAACAAGTATCATTAGCAAAAGAAAAGTTTGTTTCTCTCTCCTCCAAAAGAGGCTCAGAGGTAGGCAGTCCAGGCTGATACGGTGGCTCCATGATTTCACCGGAGACCTTTCTGCTCTGCCGTCTTCAGTGGCTTTCACCTCATGCTCAAGATGGCTGCTTGAGCGCTGGTCATCACCTCCACATTCTAGGCAACAAGTCTGAGGAACGTGTGAAAAAGGACCCATCTCTTCTCTTTAAGACTTCATCTTAGAAGTCCCCCACAGAATTCTGCTTACAGCTCATTGGCCAAGAGTTAGTCACACCTCAGGCCCACACGTAGGTGCAAGAGAGCTGGGTTATTTAGTCGTTTTGTAGGGTATGTTGTTGTTTCTCAAAATAAATTCAGGTGTTATTGCTGTTAACACAAGATCCCTGCCACCAAATCGAATGCCAACAGGACTCCCCAATCTGGGGTGCAGAAAAAAGAGAAACTTTATTTAGATGAACAGTTGGCAAACTAAGGAAATGCAGGTTCCAGTGGAAACTGAAAGTGCTCTCCACCAAAGCAAAGGGAGGCCAGTCCTGGTCCCTGTTGGTTCATTTTTATGCAAATGAGGGATCTAAATGTGCACAGTTTGATTGGTCCAAATAGCACTGTTCTGATTGGCCAGAACTGTACATACAGATTGGTTATTATGGAGCCTCTCTGATCGGTTGTTAAAGATGCAAATGAGGATATAGCTGCACAGCTCCAATTGGACAGGGCAGGTCTCAGTTCATTGGTCAAAATATGATTCCAGGAACTCGTTCGTAAGCGTAGGCTCAGACTGCAGAAAATGCAGCGCAGGAGACTTGGCGGCTCAGTCTGGGGCTTTTCCCTAACGTGCAGTATGGGTATTAGCTTCTGTAAACAATGACTCCTAGACTCTGATTATGACTGTGAGCCCAGTTAATCGCAAGGAGTCCTTCTCAGCAGATATATTCCTTCTCGCATCCCGCATTACTAAGAAAGAAGAACAGAATGGATAATGGAGTAAGCTACCAGTAAATATAAAATATATGAAAGACACCAAGAAAAGGAAATATGTGTTTTATGCAGTAGAGGTATTCCTAAGGAGTTTCTCAATTTTGTGTATTAAACCATAATCTGAATACATGAGCGGTATCAGGAATACACTGATGAATAATTTTCTGAATTAAAAACAGGACCGGTTGGCATTGCTCAGTGGTTGGTTGAGCATCAACCTAAGAACCAGGAGGTCCCAGTTCAATTCCCCACCAGGGCACATGCTCGGGTGCGGGCTCGATCCCCAGTGTGGGATGTGCAGGAGGCAGCCAATCAATGATTCTCTCTCATCATTGATGTTTCTCTCTCTCTCCCTCTCACTTCTTATCTGAAATCAATAAAAATATGGTTTTTTTAAAAAAAAGAAATAAAAAACATTGCCCTGGCCAATGTGGCCCCGTTGTTTGGAGCATCATCCTAGACACCCATGAAAGGTAGCTGGTTCGATTCCTGGTTGGACACATACCTGGGTTACGGGTTAAATCCCCAGTCATGGCACGGGTGGGCAGGCAGCCGATGGGTGTTTCTCTCACATGGATGTTTCTCTCTACCTCTCCCTTTCTCTCTCTAAAATCAACTTTTTTAACTATCCTGGAAAACATTTCATATTTGTAATAATCCATACTTAGATGGTCTTATTAGTTTGTTCGTTTTAAAGTGTGTCCGACTCCCTAAATTGGTTTTCTGAGAAATGGCAGAGAATAAGATGGCCTTCTGCTTCCTGCTTGCCTCCTACTTCTCACCCCCTCCCAAACTCCCATCACATAGACACTGTTTTTCTCTCCACTTCGCTTTCATCCTGGGTAAGATCAGACCATGTAAAAGGCTGCCGGGCTCCCAGATGGGTGCTTTGAAGTGTGTTCCTGGCAGGTGGTGAGGAGGGAATGCACTAGGGGCAGCACTGTCTGATGTCGCAGCAATACCAGCCTTTGAATTGCTCATCCAGTTCAGAAGACAGAAGTACAGACGTGTTGCAGTGGCGATGAGAAGGGCCTGAACATACAGGGGACCAAGTTTTAGAGAGCCAGGGGGAAGAATGATGCGGGAGTAAGTGGTTAGATTATTAATAGAAGCCACTCTGTTGATGAAGGAGAAAGTACAGAAATACTGCCTTATGAAAAAGAATTAGCTTCCCCCTCCCCCACTTTATTCCTTCTAGGATGTAAAATATTTAAAGCCTTATTGAAACAAGGAAATAGATTATATCAGAAATCGATTCACATCTGTAGTGGGTTCTCTTTTAGTTATTGTTTCCTAGGGAGGGGGAGGGAATGAGACTAGGAGAGAGAGCAATTCTGAGTTTCCCCCCAACTCTGTAGTTCTTTGCCCAAGATTATTTACAAGCTATGGTGTAATGTTGTAAAAGAATAATAATCATCATAGTAAAACACATAAAACATCAGAGCCTTAATTTCTCATTTCTGAAACTTGATAACTGATTTTTTAAAAATTGCTGAAATAGGCCTCAAATATATGAGCTTTCTATTAACAATACTAACCTAAGTCCTATGCATATTTCAAAGCGATATATTTTACAACAAAATTAAGCGAACCATAGTTAACACATAATGTTCTTTTGTGGTGTCAATGTTATTTATCCCACTTAATTGGAAATGTCTTGCTCTATACTCTCATGAATAACAAACAATAACAAACAACTTAATTAAATCACCCCTCATTCTATCCTTTCTGAATGCCCGTGTTTGCCATGCAGTGGTTAGAAACTGAGGACTTAGCATCAAGGAGTGTATTTGTTGGAGGAGAAAGGCAATTAGTAAAGAGACAATTACAGTTACAGAGTGATGAGCTGAGACACGCACATCATTGTTTCATAGTAATTCTCCTCTTTTCCTATGAGCCTAAGAACTCTTTCTCCCAAACCCTGGCTAGGTCGAGTGTACTGGCTATGCCAGACAGTCCCTTTACCCTCCCAGGTTCATTCTTCGCTCTCTGCCAACCCCTCCAAGCCCTGGAGACTGACCTTTGTGTACTGTGACCTTGCCCTCTGATCTCTGACCTTGGATCATGCTCACCATTGGGGAAACGCAGGGAGAGTGGAGGGTAGGAGAAAAGTGAGATTGGGGATGTATTTCTCCACTCTGTCCCTCCTGAATCTCCGCCATTGGCACAGCCCTGTACAAGGGTCACGCTTCTGGGGGTGGCCTCTCCTCCCTGCTACCCCCCTTCCGGTACCACCTGCTCTCATTGTCCCTTCCTAGAGGGGGGAAGAATCACCCCCACACCCTAGTCCCTGGGGACTCCAGTATCCCTCCATTGATTCACTTTAATCCTGCCCACACCTCCATTACATAGTTCCTCTTGAAAACTGTCCTCAATCACCCCAAGAGGGTGCCATCTGTATTCTGCTCGGACCCTGACTGCTACGTTGAGTTTACCTTGTGAACTTGAGGTAGATTCAAGTGTCTTGAACTTCAGTCTGATTCTTCCCTTGACTAATGGTGCCTTTTGATTAATCAGAGCCCCCTTTGGCTTTGATTCAGCATACGGATTGGAGCTCCGTGAATTATTTCAGGATTAGAAGTTCATTTTATTTTGGGTGAAGACCCTTTAGAATCTGTGTTAAATCACAATGTCCATAGGCAACTACCAATGTTAAACATCAAGCTTCACTGAAGTTTTGGCAGCTCAAGTACTGTATCCCGTAGACACTTGCAAATAAAGAGGGGATTTGCAGATAACAAGTAGGCGTGCCTGCCAGCCTCCGGGGCCTTTAAGAGGATTATGGTGGAAGGGGGACGTGCTGGTTAAATAAGTTATGTGGGTGCTTGCTTCTCCAGGCTGCACTGACCGACATTTTCCTAATCTCTTCAGCAGATTGAAGTTCCGGAACAAGGCAAACGTAAAAAATACCACATTCAACAAAGCCAGGTCTGTGAGTAAGATTATGTAATGATACATTATAATTTTGATAAATCTGCCATTTTCCCCCTTTAAGTAACCAAAGTCATTCTACTTTTAATAATAAGCCAGAATTCTCCTTTTCAGAAGCTCCTCCATGTAGGTTAGGCCAAGAAGTATAGCTTGTTTATTGTTGGCGACTGCTGCTCCAAAGGTTTCCTTAAACCAGCGGTCGCCAACCTTTCGGACCTTATGGACCACCAGTGGCCCGTGGACCGCCGGTTGGCGACCGCTGGATTAACACATTCATCCTCACCACCATCTTGTAAATCAGAGAGGTTAAATGACTTGCCCCAGGTTGCACAGTAATCAGTGGTGGAAAGAAGAAGGCATCTGACTCCAGAGCTGTGCCCATAACTACTTTTGCTAACTCTTTCTTTCTAAGTTCAAATCCTAGAGTAGATGAATGAAATAAAGGTGACCTCTTAGTAGTATTTGAATGGAATTTATTATTGGTCCAACTCCTGTCACAGGGTCTGCTATGTATATAAAAAATATTTAGTATAGCTTGGCCAGCTTGGCTCAGTGGTTGAGTGTCGACCTATGGACCAGAAGGTCACAGTTGGATTCCCATGCCTGATTGAGGGCTTGATCTCCAGTGGGGGGCGTGCAGGAGGCAGCCAATCAATCACTCTTTCTCATCATTGATGTTTCTATCTCTCCCTCTCCCTTCCTCACTGAAATCAATAAAAACATACTTTAAAAAAATACTTAGTATATAGGGATGGTATTCATAAGTATATAAGGTCCTTTCTTGAGTGAGTAAGCCCAGAAAATTTAAAACAGATCAAATGTAAACTTCCTCTCTTTTATAATAACTAGAGGCTTGGTGCACGAATTCGTGCACAGGTGGGGTCCCTTGGCCTGGCCAGTGATTGGGGCTGATCAGTGCTTCTCGCCCAGTCCCAATCAGGGCTGGCTGGTGGGGGAAGAGGGGGAGGGTCGGGGGCGTGTAGGAGTCACAGATGTTGGCCAGCTGCCAGGGGTTGGGGAGAGGGGCCATGGGAGGTTGGCTGTGGGAGCACATTGACCACCAGGGGGCAGCTCCTGTGTTGACTGTCTGCCCTGTGGTAGTCAGTGCACGTCATAGCAACCGGTCTTTCAGGTCATTCCACTCGTTTGGTCATAACGGTCGCTTAGGCTTTTATATATATAGATAAATATATAGAGATTTCTGGCTGCTTAGACCAGAGACATGAGATGAGAACTCCACCACTTACTGTATGTCTCCATGCAAAAAAAAAAAAAAAAAAAGTGTACAGGGGCTCCAGAGGTACTTACTAAAGTGAAGACTTCTGGGCTTCACCCCAAAAGATTGATGCAATAGATCTGGGGCAGGGGCCCTGCATCAGAGTGAATAACAAGCATTTCAGTGGGAAACGCTGCACCAAGCTTCAGTTCCTTTAACTGTAGAATGGACGGGGTAATCCATTTCAGCACCATAGTAACAGCGTAGAGCTGTGGTTCTCAGCCTTGGCTGCACATCAAGCATCACCAGGGGATATGTAAAAACCAATGATGGCTGGCTGGGGCCTGGCAACAGAATTTTTAAAAGTTCGCAGATGGTCTAATGTACAGCCAGGACGGAACCATCGCTCTAGGATAGTGGTTCTCAAAGTGTGGTCCCTGGACCAGGGGCATCAGCATCCCTTGGGTATTTACTAGAAATTCCAATTCTCAGGCCCCACACCTGCTGGATCTGGAACCCTGGGCCTGGGGTCCAGCAACCTGAGTTTAGCAAACCCTGCAATTCGGTCTGATGCATGTTCAGATCTGAGAGCCACTGTCCTAGAATAACAGGCAACACCACACACAGCACGACTGCGATGAACATTGACGCTAATTCAGTTGTCCTTTCAGATGAACAGCAGTGCCAACAGGCAGACCACACCTCCTTCAGGCTCTGGGCAGGGCCAGCATGGGGAAAGGGGCCTGGTGTCCCACCATACTGAATTCCGACCTATTGTAGCAAACCTTTCTCTTTTCTTCTTCATTGTTATTATTTATTTATAAATTTTTAGTAAAGTATAGCTGGCATACAATAGTATACTACTCTCAGGACTGTAGCATAATGATTAGACATTTATATACCTTATAGCAAACCTTTCTATAGAGCTGATTCTGAGCCAGGCACTGTTATAATTACTTTCCATGTATAATCTATTTAGTCATCATAACAGCCCAGGTACTCTTATTATTATCCTTAGTTTTTAAAAATTGATTGATTGATTTTAGAGGGGGGGGAGGAGAGAGAAAGAAAGATTTGTTGTTCCACTTTTTTATGCATTCATTGGTTGATTCTTGTATGTGCTCTGACCAGGGATCAAACCTGCAACTTTGGCATAACGGACGATGCTCTAACCAACTGAGCACCTGGCCAGGGCTTATTATCCTTGGTTTATAGCTGAGGGAACTGAAAACACACAGAAAGGTTAAGTAAACTGGCCCAAGGTCACACAGTTGGTAAATGATGGAGCCCATGTTCAAACCCAATGTCCAAACCCAAGTTTATTCTTTTAACCACTTGGCCTCATAGAAAACAAATTTCAGCTGATCTGCCATTGAGGTGCCAGTATTTATTTCAACAGGGCCAAAGCATATTCTCCATGCCCCTGTCTTTGAGATTTCATAAATATTGAAGGCTGATTTCTCACCCACTAAAGGTTTCTAGCCATCAGAACCTCTTAAAATTACATTTTAAGTAAAGATTTGGGGTGAAGTTAAAAGTTGAAAGTCACATGGCTCTAAGGGAGGGGGAAAAGACAAGAGAGGCAGATTCCAGTGGTTCCTGGAGACATCCCAGTGCCTAGGGTTGGTCTGAAAAAGGGCTACCTCGACGTACCAGCAGGGGGCGCTCTCAGACCTTAGTGTAGCTTCTAAAACCTTAGCATAACCATTGCTTAAACTGATGTAACTTTCTGTTGCCTTTTAAATATGAAAATCCTTGACTTTGTTATTGTTGTTATGGAAATTATTTCCTCCCATATCTATATATTTCTGACCTCTCTGTTTACTTCACAGCAGAAAGACTACTCTAGTTTTCTACCAAGAACAAGCAAGATGAAGACAGCTGAAGGCGACTGTGTTTCGGGGACCCCAGAGGAAGAAGGTCTTTGAAGAGAAAGTCTCACTTTCTAAATTGTCCTCTACGGCTGTGTTGACCATGCTTGAGCGTTCAAAGTGAGCTTCCTACCATCAATAACAGAAATTTGACCCCTTCCTATTTTTGTGACATTAAGATGGACCCACTTCGTCAAGACTACTTCAGAACTTTGTTAAACTCAAGATGAAAAAGACATGCGAGCCAAAGCTATCCTGTTTGTTTTAATGCCTCATAAATGACAAGTGGCAAATCCAAATCAATTAGTAAGAAGCTTGTTCTTTCCTCCATTCCCCTAAAAGAGACGTTTACCTGGCTCCGTGACGTCTTTTATATGTTCCGACACGACACGAATAGAAAGGCTCAGCAGAAAGCGCTGTAAATGCTTTGGAGTGAAGTTCTGAAGATGACTCATCAGCTGAGGAAAAGGTGGCTCTACGAAATGGAATCATTGAAAAACAAATTAGGACTTTACTGGCGTGTCCACAGCACCAGAGCAAGGAGGGGAGGAAATATTGATTTGTTTCCTTACGTAATTCTGAGCCTACTCCTGTGGGTGTTACTCACAGTAGTACAGAGTTCTCTGCTTCTCCACTCTTGTCATTGTATGCTGCCCTTAGAATCCTAAATTCAGCTCAGTGGTCCTCACGCTATTTTGATTATTTTTATTTTGGAAAGCAGTGGGTAGCAGTATCCGATACCTTGTAAGTCTCTTAGCTTTACAAATACGTATACTTCGTCACTAGATTTTTCCTTATCCAGTTTCAGTTTATGATGATAATTAATGTAATATATATAGAATTATGACCGCAATAAGGGAGAAGGACAGAAGAATCTATGAAATGTAATTAGATGAAGTGTAATATTCTGATGTTCTTTTCTAACTAGGTTGTGTAACTAATGATGCAATAAACGTGAAATATATTCCAGTGAATATAGAATTTACTGATGGAAATTCTCCGAGTAATAATTTTGAAATATAGATCTATTAAAGCCCATAGTATTTACAAAGCAATGCCTGAAGCCATAACTTCCAGTACCATAAAGTTTTATATTTCTGTTTTAGACTGTAGTAGGAAATTTTGGCAGGGGGCATTATCAACACCCCACATCATCCATGATAAGTGTATTAAGGGGTTAGAATGCATTTTTATTTTATTTTATTTTTTAGTATATTTCTTTATTGATTTCAGAGAGGAAGGGAGAAGGAGAGAGAGATAGAAACATCAATGATGAGAGAGAATCTTTGATTGGCTGCCTCTTGCACACCCCCTACTGGGGAATGAGCCTGCAACCCAATTCTATCATTATTGGGTAAAAAGTCTGAACTCCAATTGCCAGAGTGGCTTTCCCCGCTGCAGGCCCTGGGAGAAGACGCCCATCACCCCTCCCGGTGAGGACCTCAGTCTTCAGGTGGCATTGCTGGGGCGTGACCTTCCCAACAGCACAGAAGACATCAGGCAGCGCATGACCTTTATAAAGGTAGGCAACTCTGGCCCTTGCCGATTTGGCTCAGTGGGTAGAGCATCAGCCTACAGACCAAAGAGTCCCAGGTTCGATTCTGGTGAAGGGCCCATACCCTGGTTGCAGGCTCCTCCCCGGCCCGGGTCCTGGTCCGGGCGTGTGCAGGAGGCAACCCATCGATGTGTTTCTCTCACATCGATGTTTCTCTCTGTCTTTCCCTCTCTTTCCCACTCTCCCTAAAAATCAATGGAAAAATAGCCTCAGTGAAAAAATAATTTAACAACAAAAAATTAAAATAACAATAATAAAAAGGTAGGCAACTCTTGAAATCCTTCAAGTCACTGCTAAGGGGTGTGGCACAGTTTGGGAAATGACCAGTATAGCCTTCAGTCTATAGATTCGCTCCTCATTACCCCTGCAAAACGGTCCCCAGTCAGCCAGACTTTCTCCGGATACATTTGCATGCACCAGTATCACTTCTCCCACAGCTTCCAGACATGCATCTTTGTTTCTACTGCTGCTCAAACTCCTAAAATAAACCGGCATAAGCTCTCGGCCCATAGGCAAACACTTGAGTTTGAAAATCTCACCAGAATCATAACGAGAATGGAGGGCAGAGCTGAGTAAATGGTGGTGAGGCCCAAGGCCTGAGCTCCGGGTCCTGTGGCGGGAAGCACATGCAGGCTTTGTGTGAGGGCCTGACATGCTCGCCAAAGCCAGGTCTCGGTCTAGGTCAGTATGCGCTAAGCTTATGGCTGGCACACGTCCCCCCACGGAGGATGGGGAAGCAAATTTTATGTTCAATATCTAAGTTAGAAATCACCTTGATTTCACCCTCAAGGTAAATTTGAGAAGAGCTAAGGGATCTTAATTTGTGGAAAACCAAACAGGTGCCAAGCCTTGGTGAGAAAATAGTGGCCAAATTGATCCTACAAAACAAAACTCAGCAAAGGAGACCACGCCACTTTTCTGGATGCTTCTCGGTCATCCCTCCTCCTGCAGTGTGTGGTCAGTGGTCCACCAGGCTGCTGAGGACTCGGGATGGTGGGAAATGGAAGGAAAAGAACTTCTCTCCTTCATTACACTGGTCTCAATCCTATCATCAGTGATCCGAGGGGAAAAAATTGTTAAGAAATTTGGTGTAATTTTTAAAATATGTTTTTATTGATTTCAGAGAGAGGGAAGGAGATAGAAACGTCAAAGATGAGAGAGAATCATTAATTGGCTACCTCCTGAATGCCCCCTACTGGAGATCGAGCCAACAACCTGGGCATGTGCCCTGGCTGGGAATTGAACCGGTAACCTCCTGGTTCATAGATTTGACACTTAATCACTGAGCCACACCAGTGGGGCAGAAGTGAGGTGTATTTTGATGGCTCTCATCACCCCAAAATCAGATGTGCTGCATTAACTTACAAAAAGGATGGGATGGGTAACTGATAATCCCTTATAAAATGGCTTTTAATCCTTATGTTTGTAGTCCCCGACCCCCCCCCTTTATTTTTTTCTGTGTTAATCTTTTGTTTTATTTATTATTTTTTAAATATTTATTGTTAAAGTATTACATATCACACACGTTACTGAGGTGTAATTGCACTTGGCATATAAATTACTTTCTAATAGCTATTTGTTGTATTCTTTGTTATTGTTGTTGTATTCTTAAGAAGTAAGTCATTTGTATAACAATTTTCCAGGCAAGAAAAATTAGAGCTTTAGGAAAAGTACATGGTGAACTTGGGTCTTTGGTGTAGCCCTCCCTAGCCCAGCCCAGGTCCTTTCTGTAGGGGAAAGTCTGTAGCTCACCATGTGAGCTTTGCTTGTGTAACATCTTGGAAAAGGCTAGACATTCAGTTGATTTAAAGGCACTGACACTAGGGCTTTGCACTGTTCTTGCGCCGAATGTGGTTTCTCTCCTGGAAAATGGGAACACAGAGTTGGCTGTGTTTCCTAACGGGATTTCCATCTGTCCCCATGAGCACACACTGCGATGCAGCAGTTGTCTGGGGTGGAGACGCCGGAGCAGCAGGCTGAAAATGGCACGTGTGAGTTGGCTTGGCTATGCACATGCGCGCTCTGATTCTCACTGGGAACTGGGCCCTGCAGAATCTCTGGGCACCCCAAGCCTTTGGAACAGGGTCCCGTGTGCAGAGGAAGAGATGGTGCAAATCTGCTGTTTCTGGATCCCCGTCAAGGGAAGTGCAGAAATTGGTTTTCAGCAGAACAAGAATGACGAGTAAAGCGAGTGAAATGGCAGTTATGCAACATGCACGTTGCAAAAAGCATCCACTTGGAGACAAGTTCTAATCGAAACTCAGTTAGCTGTAGAGCTGACTTGCAGACTTTGCTCCGCAATAGCTGGTGGAGCATCACGCTTTCAGGAGACACGAGGCCACCAAGTCCACCTCCTGTGCAGAAGGAGAGCAGATCCACGGCCCAGCCCCTGGAGAGCACCAGGTCAAGGGAGAAAATAAGAAGGTTGTATTTCAGAGTTTATTTTCTCATCTCAACTGAATACCGCAGGATAGCAGTTACACCTAAGATTCTTGCAGGTAACTGGATTTCCATCAATTATGTCTGTAAGCATTGCTAGTCTTTTGCAATTAACTGTGGGTTGCTTCCCCTTTTTCTTGCCTCATCTCCTCTTTTCCCTTCGTCAAAATTAAAGCTGGTGACATACTGTCTGGGGATCACAATGAAGATAGGCTGAGACCTTAGACAGCGAATTATCTGTAGAAAAGTCCTAAAACCTTACAGCCCTATTGCAAACTCCCTTACCTTGGACTTGAAAAACAAAATCCTCCTGGATTATTGACAAAACAAACAAACAGGCAAAAAACAAAACTAAAAGCAACTAACTCCATTTTTTTAAATGTGCCTTGTAAGCTTGGAAGATAGACTGTAAAATACATTTCTCAGGTTTTTCAAAAAACATGATCATTTGTAAGTCTGTTCTCGTTCTGTTTGCCTTAAAACAAATGCATCGACTAAGAGCTATTTGCATTACTTACTCACTCCCCCGCCCCCATAAAAATGTAAAAAAAGGTCTGCACTTGTTGGTCGGGAGTGTTAGGTTCAAAAGTTGGATTAGTCCAGTGTGTTTGCAGACAATGGGCTCAGAGTGGCATAGCCGTGCCTTCATCGTGACTGAGGCCTCACAGTTTTGTAAAGGCTTCCCTGCCTGAACCCAGCCTCTCACTGGTCACCTTTAAAGGCTTTGCAAAAGGTATCTCCTTACCAATGATCAGTTACTTAACTTTTAGAATGGAAGGTTAATCAGCGCTAGTCCCTATATGCAATATTTTGTCTAATATACATGTGAAAATCTGTGCGGGTTCTGGCATCCTATCTAATAAAGACAGAATATGCAAATTGACTGTCACACCTTCACAAAGATGGTGGCGCCCAGTCCCCTCAGCCCCGTTGGGAGTCCCACAGTCCTTTCAGCCCAGCTGGGGGAGAGGGGTGGGGGGTGCAGCAGGCGCACGGTGCAGCCGGACCCGCCCTCAGCCCCCCAGCCGCCCAGGGCCGCCCGAGGCTCAGGTAACCAGGGCCGGCCGAGGCTTGCGCTGCAGGCAGTGGCAGCAACAGAGGTGTGATGGGGGTTTCGCCTTCCCCTGATGGCCAGGTTGCCTCCAGCCCCTGAGGGCTCCCAGACTGTGAGAGGTGGCAGGCCGGGCTGAGGGACCCCCCTCCCGTGCGTGAATTTTCATGCACCGGGCCTCTAGTAAGTGGATAAGTGCAAATGAAAACAACAAATGGGTGTGGCAGTGAGGATCCAAGCTCTTCTTTCCGGGGATCCAGCTGGGATCTCGGTAACTCTGGAAACGCAAGGCGATCTAAGATGCTTATTTTGCAGTTAACAAAGGGAGAGGGGTTTTGCTTGAATACTTAATTCCTAGTTGTGCTGGTTGCTGAAGGAAAATATGATTCTCTAAGTCTAAGTCTTCAAAGTTTCCCCTTAGTTTTGCAAATACAATGCTGGCACACATACACACTTCATCCTCCCCCTGACCCCCACCCTCCCACCCTCAGTGGTTTAATCATTTAAACGGTTGGAGAACCGAAATGAATTTAACTCTGATGCAGATAAATATATGCCACTTGTCTCATACCCTAAGACTTACTCATTTAATGGTTCCGCCTTGAGATCCCACCGTGTTAAGAAACACCTGATTCACACTAGTTCTGTGTGAGATGGGGGCACCTGTGCGAAACACTTTTCGGAGCATGTCTCCCTCTGATGGTCATTCATTAGTACTACCATAAAACCAAATGCCTCCTGGGATAATAAAACCGGAGCTTAACAACAAGTGCCCCTTCCTTTGCACGTATGTATGCTTTTTAAAAAACACCTCCCCATTCCAACACAGGCCTTTTATACAGCGACAACTGGTTACACTGAGATAACTGCTAGATCATTTTGAGTCTCTTCTGATGAGCATTTAATTATGCATTTGAAAGTCTTTTCTG